GACAGATTTGAAACTATTTTTTGGCGATCGAAAAAATTGTTTCATCGTTCATTTTGTCTAATTTTTACTTCAGTTGTAAAGGTTCAAGCGCGACACTAACACCGATAATAGACGCTGGCGCCACCATGCATCGAACGACCGAGACTAAAAAGTTCATCCCATCGTGTAGGAGACACACTTACCAATTGTGGGGTGTTGAACGCTGTAAGCAACGTTATGTACAACGTTGGAAGCATCGTGTGGGACCCGCATAATGTGAGGTTAACCGATTATCGGATCAAAAAGAAAATGATGTAATGTAGGGACTGGTTGAAAGGGAATGAAATTACGGGTAGGAGCTCGATGGAAAAACAGGATTTATTTTACAAAGTCCCTAAAATCAAACGCCACACGTCATAACCACAATACATAATAATTGACATCTCGTCTCAGCACTCAAAAATATATAGAGCAATAAAGGAAAAGTTAATCAAATTCAAGCGAATAACCAAATGAAAATGGTATTTACACATTTTGGATTGGTATTTACCGATCCCTTCAAGCGAGTGTGGTTACCAGTTTGGTTATAAGGTCCGTGACGTCATGAATCAGCTGTTATACGTCATAGTTATCACCGCAAAATTTTGGTACTTACCCAACCCAGGAGTAGTTTTATATTTCTGGTTATTATCTGAAATGTGACAAGTTAGAATTTTGCCGGGTATTGAATATGTTTATTGTACTTCAGCTTCATTTTTGGGAAACTTGATACAGGCTGACTTCAGTTTTAGCATAAAGTAGACCACCTTATTAGTTATAATCATTAGGTACTGTTGTTGGGGACACTTTAAATCTAATTCCTATGCTTAACAAAGAATCCTGTGTAGCCATATACCTACCACAAGAATATTAAAATATGGCCTTATAAACTCACTGGATGATGTCCACCTGTATACGGTTTCGCTATTTTTTTTCATCGCGTTTTCCTATCATTTCTGCTAATCAATAAATGTTTTCTTTGACATGCGGAAAAGTTTAGAGAATCATATCATAACTACAAAGCCATGTTTCCATCATTAAACATTTAAAAAAAAAAACATTTCTCCCATTAATATTATGAAAGGTTTTTTTTCAACTTTCCATGCATTGTTGACGAAAAAGCACCAATTATTAAGTGATAAAAATAATCAGAAATTATATACGCGCTTTTCTAAAATAAACAAAACTTGCAACAAAACCGCGGTTAAAACTAATGCGTTAAAGTGATTCGAGTAACTGACGTCGTCCACCCGTGTGTCATCTTGAACCATATTATAACCGCGGTACATAATACTGAAATTTTGGTTATTCGCTTGGATTTGATTAATATTTATGGGGCTTGATGCTAAATGAGTTTCGACCGTTGAAATTGATTCCGATGGCGCCTTGTGACGATATACTTGATTCACTATAATAATTTTGACATCTGATTATATTGATATTCTATATTCAAATTATCATAGCTTGAAGGGATCGGTAAATACCAATCCAAAATGTGTAAATACCATTTCATTTGGTTATTCGCTTGAATTTGATTAACTTTTCCTTTATTGCTCTATATATTTTGAGTTCTGAGACGAGATGTCAATTATTATATATTGTGGTTATGACGTGTGGCGTTTGATTTTAGGGACTTTGTAAAATAAATCCTGTTTTTCCATCGAGCTCCTACCCGTAATTTCATTCCCTTTCAACCAGCCCCTACATTACATCATTCTCTTTTGATAAAACTCGTGCAGGCTCCGTGTTGGAGACCCACTACCTAGGATCCTAGTTTGCCTCCAAAAGAAAATTAAACATCTGTATTTCTTATCACGTGCTGTCAATGAAAATTTTTCTTTTCCTGTGTTGCAGTTATGGTAAATTTTCGAAGAAGAGGGAATCATGAGAAAAATGGATGTAAACAAATAGTTATATACAAAACCACAAGCAGAAAATGTAAAATGAAACAGATATTTACTGCACTGAGCGCAAAACTAGTTAAAGGGACGAACCAAAAGAACATATATGAATATATACACTTGTTTTGAAAAAAGAATATAAAATATGCACCAGTGCAACACTACATAGTTTCAGCAAAAGAAAACGCCATATTCATGGTGATTTCTTTAGACAGAAACAAAAATAACCTTTTTTCCAGTTATTAAACTTTTTGATCCCATAATCGGTTAACCGCACATTATGCAGGTTCCACACGATGCTTCCAACGTTGTATACAACGTTCGACACCTCACAATTGGTAAGTGAGCAAGTGCTTGAACCTTTACAACTGAAGTAAAAGTTATACAAAATGAACGATGAAACAATTTTTTTCAGCACCAAAAAATAATTTCAGATCTGTCTTCAGTGACCAAAACTAGAGTCTGTCAGAAGCCTCAGAAATGTCGAAAAACGAAGTTTGACCGTTTTTTGTTTGTTTTTCGACGATAACTCCGCCGCTACTGTACCGATTTTCAAAAACTGCAGAGCTTTTTCGTCATTTTCATAGTAGTAACCTAGGGTAGAAATGTCATCAAAATCCTGATACTACTTTCAGAGTTATCATTTACTTAATCGTTTTCATTAGTTATGGAATGCAAGTCAATATTTGTATTTTTCAATTATAATTTATCCAAAGAACCTATGGAGTAATAAATCATCTTACCGGCACGCACCTCGTTCCTTTCGGTCCGTTTTCGGTAGATAAGCCGCCAAGTTCACAATAGCACTTTAATTCTTTCCGAAGGTTTGTGACGTGCGGTTGAATTTTTTTTGGGTGCTTCATTTATTTTTGTGAGACAACTTTTAAAAGGATAGTTCGACATGAGTGCCTTATTAGACGAGGGACAATTACCACGAAAACGGACAAAAGGAGCTTTATCGGTTTCTGAGAAAAAACTTATAAATATTTATATAGCTTCTCGGGAGCGCTATCCACAGAACGTGTAGCCTTTGTTTCAAGAGTATCAGCTGAGGATTTAGCTTCGAAGTATAATTTAAAATGTTTTGTAGTTTGATGTATTATTCTAAATAATAGTTATTTTCTGTTAAATCTCTTATATACCCACTACTATGATAGCTACTTCTATTGAACACATTTTGATTTTTAAAACTTATTTTCCATAATATTATTATTTATTAATGCATGCATATATAATATGTATATGCAAAATGTATTAATTTGTTTTCAGAATCATCACCTAGCAATGTATATAAAATTTTGGCAGAGCACGAAAGAAGCAACAGTCTTTCTCCTCCCAAAGGTTAAGATAGAGCCAGAGTAGTTTTGCACAACGTTTCATAAGAAACGACGACGACTTGCCAGTCTTCAAAAGATCGACGTTGGCTACATTGATGAAGGAACTTAATTTTTAGTAAGTGTCCGTAAAATGTTCACACAAAAATAGTTTAGAGTTTTTTATGTTTTTTATCATTCTTTATCTATACTTTATGACTAAACTAAACTTGCAATTTTGTCAAGATGAATCATCTGAAATTCGTTATTCGTATAATTGAATCAACGAATTTAAAGATTTAATGTAATTTTTAGTTTTGTAGGAAGAAATCGAAATAGCATCTTGAAAGAAAAGAGCGAGATAATATGTTGGAGACGTAGATACTTACGGGAAATCTCAAAGTATAGAGTTGATTAGCTATGATAATTTTGTCACTGCCATGATAATTTGAGTATATAAGGTCAATATAGATGTCAAAATTATGATAGCGACTCAAGTATATCGTCACAAGTCGCCCTCGAAATCAATTTCAACTGTCGAAACTCATTTAGAATCAAGCCCCTGCTGTGTTGACTTATGCGGGTCCCACACGATGCTTCCAACGCTATTTACAACGTTCGACACACCACAATTGGCAAGTGCGTCTCCTACACGAGGGGATGAACTTTTTAGTCTCGGACGTTCGACGCATGGTGGCGCCAAACTCTATTATCGGAGGAAGTGTCGCGCTTGAACCTTTACAACAGAAGGAAAAATAATACAAAATGAACGTTCAAACAATTTTTTCGAAGGCCGAAAAATAATTTCAGATCTGTCTTCAGCTACCAAAACCTAAGTCTGTCAGAAGCCTCAGAAATGTCGAAAAACGAAGTTTGACCGTTTTTTGTTCGTTTTTCGATGATCTCTCCGCCGCTACAGTACCGATTTTCAAAAACTGCAGAGTTCTTCCGTCATATTCATAGTAGGAACCTAGAGTTAAAATGTCATCAAAATGCTGTTAGTACTTTCAGAGTTATCATATCTTTAATCATTGTCGTTAGTTATGAAATGCAAGTCAATATATCTCTCAACTAGTCTTACATTGCAACAGGACATTATCATGAAACAAAGCTGTAAGCGCTTGATAATTCATAATTTACTAAAATACATATCCTTAGGCCAGCCATAACTCACCTGCGACACGTACAAAATATTAGTAATATGAAAAAAGTGTTGTAATGGCAGCCTATGCTTTGTATGTATAATAATTTAATTAATTCTCCTCAAAAGTTAGTTACGGAATATTCATTATTATGAATAGGTAGGTATTCAAATCAAAATACTTCCCACATACCACTACTTCCGTCACTGCTCTCCCACACGTTGTAAGGCATTCGCCACATCGTGTGGGTCCGGTTTCAAACCTCAACAAGATGGAACATAGGGTAGAGTAGGGTAAATCGTACCGATTTTTAAATAATTGACCACTGTACTCAGAAATTAAACTCTTTAGCATTCATATTAGCACACAAGCAAATATAAACATTTATTTTCTCCTTAATCAAGAGTTTAACTAAATCAAACAACATCTTAAGCAAAAAAAAATACAAAAATAAAAATGCTTGCAAACGGTACGATTAAGCGAACAGGTTGGTTTAATCGTACCGTCGGTTTTTAAATCGTACCACTAACTTTTTATTTACAGTTCTCACACACATATTTTTTTATTTGCTTTTTAGTTCCTGCACATGATGTGTGGGCCCATTTCTAACATTTCATACATTTCACCATATCCTCAATAATGTTCTCTTCCCATATATGGCAGTACCATTCAGTAGTATCATATTCAATTTGAGCATTTACTACATCAGATTTTGAAGTGGAAGATTGGTCGTCACGTGCTTCGAAAAGGGAAGTAGAAGAAAGCCCGAGATTTTTCTTTACTTTTTTAATTGAGTTCTGCCTTTGATTACGCTTGCTATCCAATTCATCTTTATAGGGCCTACTGCTTAAAATGACGGCTGGTTGAGACAATTTTCTTTTCTTAGCATTACCTTTATTCTCAGGTAAAGGATAAATTTCTTCAATGGAGGTATTCAGATCTGTTGAGTTGCAATTGTTGTTTAGTTCAGTACTATTACTTTTAACTGGTCGCTCAGTAGCTTCGTCTTCAGGCTTAATAGTCGTTTCACGTGGATTTATTGCCCTAAATCCTCCCTTGCTGTTTCTGAATCATTTTCAAGCAAGGCGCTAGCAGCGATAAAATCTGCATGAGAAAATACAGTACGGTCAACCGGCCATATTCCAGTTCTTTTAAAACCACCCATGATGTTGCTTATTGATGCAGTTTTTGCATAGGCATCAGAGAGCAATCAAGTCATGTTATATTGAGTAACAGTGTTACCAGGATTGCTTCTCACAAATGTTTCAATACCTTGAGAAAAATAGGATTCCATAGGTTTAAAAAAGCTTACGTCTAATGGCTGTAACCAATTTGTAGTATGGCCAGGAAGTTGCAGTAGTACAATTCCATGCATTTTTGCTAAAATGAGTGCTTCAAGATTTTTTAAGTGCGTTGTGTGGCCATCCAGCAAAAGCAAAACTTTTTTTTCGGTACTTGGTTTTACGTACTCAATGAAGTGCTTTAACCATTTAACAAAAAGTTCGCTATTTATATATCCAGTATCTGAAATTGTAACAATAGTGCCAGATATTGCACCTATGGTTAGCTCTGGAGCCATACGTTTTCTCTTGAAAATGATCATGGGTGGTACAGTTTGACCGGCAGCACTGGCACAAACGACAACTGTGGTATTTACGCCCCTCTCACCACTTGCTATACCTCCAACTTGGTGCTTTCCTCTACGTGCAATTATTTTTTGGTTCCGTTTTTGAACAGTTGAAAATCCACTTTCATCAACATTATAAGTTGTTTGAGCCGTAAAACAGTTTTCATCAACACATCTTTCTAAGATATCAAAAAACTCATGGACGTTTTTTTGGTTGAATCCAGTTGCTCTAGCCATGGAGATTTTCTCTGGTTGCCTTAGTGACAGTTCAGGATGTCGGTTCATAAAAGAATAATACCATCCTTTTCCCGCCATTTCTTTGTTGATGTTGAAGCGATGTGGAATATCATTCCGAACAGCTATTTGGAAAGCCAATCGTCTAACATCCCGAATTGTTACACCAAAAAATCTTTCTTCCAGCTTCAAAATATGTTTTGCCAATTCCATTTCAGTTTCAGGACTGAAGGTTGTGTGACGACCCAAAGACTTGACATTTTCATTTGCCTTTTTATTTAAAGAGCGCAAATGCCTTCTAAAAGTTGGCTTTGGAATGTTATAGCGCCTGCAGCATTCATTAAAACCACATTGGTTTTGTTTGTATGCATTAATTGCATGATCCATATCTTCTGAGGTCCATCCACAGTATTCCCGTTTGTTTTTTTCTTATTATTTACTTACTCATCTTCTTTTTTGAATTCCTGTAACAAAAACTTATGAAAAATGGAGCAAAAAGTCTCGGTTGGGTAAATCGTACCGGTACGATTTACAAAACTGTCGGTGGTACGATATACGACACAAGCATAATTTTACTTTTTTATATAAAATTTCAACCTAAACAAACGTATTTCCAATTGATAATTTCAGCAACAACTAACTACACGTCTATCGTTTTGGTGGGTTCATGCACGATTTAAGCTAACTTAACTTAAGAAAATGAGCATTTCATGCGCATGCGCGGCCAGGATTGCCAACGTAGCAGTTGAGGCAACATGAAAGTTAAATACCCTTAAATAATCATATGTTTAACGTCAAAGTAGCAGATGAAAGAGTGGTTTGTGGCTTATGTGTCACGTGGACTGGCGGGCCAGCCTTGAAGTTGACAAGTGGCCCCTCCCCACACGCTTGCGCCAATGCAGGTCAAAGAACTCGGATAATAGTCCAGATAATATGGGAACATCTGCTCGGAAAACTCTTCCGATTCCTATTTTTGCATAATCTGATTCAAGGACCTCTTAAAGAATCTGCATGTGACTAGGCCCAAATATTGCTCCAAAAATTGTTATTAAACCGATTCCAAAAATTGATTTGTTCGCTTTGTTTAAAGTATTTTGCGGTTTTTAGGACATTCTAAATAAAAAATGAGCTTTAGAACTTTTCTCTAGACTTGATATATACAGGTATAAGCAATGTAAAAACTCAAAATATGTCATTTGCTACCCTAAAAACAATATGAAAAATGAATATTTTGTTGTTGCCAAATCTCACACATGCTTCAACCAACCAATAACAAAACCCCCAGAGCATTTGAATGCGCGCTCAATCTATAGTCTATGTCTATGTGAACGCGAGAGAGATGAAATATCTCTCGTGCACGCTGAATATGCATTGAGCGTCCGCTTGCATATAAACTAAATACAAAGATTTATAACATCAGTATCTCCTAAAAGGTATCGTTAATGGTTATTTATGAAGCATGGCGACATTAACATTTTCGTTTTTTCAGATCGTTTTTCGGTATCGCAAAATCAATTTTTTGTACTTTCCCATCTCGTACAAAATCAACTTTTGACAAACATTGTCAAACATCATTTTGTTTCGGAGTATCAAAAAAACGAATGCTACCTTTGATGAAGCGAAAACATTAATTTTTGTAATTTATTTGAAAAAGTTGTTCAAACAATTAGAGACGCAATTTGGAGCCTGACAACATGTAGATTTGTTACTAGGAGGCTTTTTCGAATAACATGCAAAAAGTCCGAATCCGAATATTTTCCTGAGCACATGTGAAGATATTTCTTGGACTATAACCTCGACGGCAGCGCCACTTTTCTTGGCTGGAAATCTGGTGGAACTATAAATATTGAAAGTATGCCGACAACGCATATCAGGAATGTCAGGAATGTGTCGGCGATTTCATTTGTTTACATTATGAAATCTGACTGACGACCGATATTGAGGCAGTTCGATGATCATAGATGCATAACACATCCTCAATAAAGGGAGTATTTCTTTCATCAGTTTGACTAGTAATGAATATCAGGATAATAAAAAAATGTATAATTAAAAAAATATTTACTGAACAGTCACAGCAATAATAGAACAAATTCTTCATTACAATAAATTGTACATACATAGAGGTATTCTACTCATCTGGATTTTTCTCTATATTATGAACCTGATCAGTGCAATATCATGCAAGCACTATCTCTTGTTAATTGATCAGGTATATTTATTGCAAAAACATAAATACTAAAATAACAAAAAATACATCTGTAGGTAGAGGACTGACTGGAATACAAATATAATCACTCTGATATGTGAATCAAAAATAGTTTTGCGCACACTGTTTAATGGGTAAAGGCAAACAAAATTGTCCTCAACAAAAAAAAACACATAAAACAGTAATTGTTTCTTCAAACTAGGAAACAAACTCTCATTGACAATTAATTTGGTATCCATAAAATAAATGACGATCTTCATTCCAACTGCCTCCTCGAAGGATTTTGACACTGTGAAACAAAAAAAAAAATTATTAGCATAATATCACTGTCATATTTGGTCAGCAAGCACTAAACAGAAACATAGTCATCTCACCACGCCCCTTCAGATGATACTGCTCTGTACATATGTATAAATTCCCAATCTAGCAGTATACATTTGATTGCCAAAATTCTGTGTTTAAAAAAAAAAATTTTCATTGGTGATACCAAACGCCAGTCCTTAATTTGGCCCTTTACAAGGTTTGTTATTACCAACAGTACAGATGTCACAAAAAAAGTTACGTGCTACTCAATCTGTTTACCTCAATAAACGTCAAAAGAGATTACATATTTGGTGGGCTGCGAATACACAGCATTCGTCAGGTGTACATCTGGTTTGTAGTTAATGACAAAGTACCTTCACAGTGTTCTGTGAGGTTTTGGAAAAACATGTCATGGGGGGCATGGTATAGATTTAAATTCTCTTTTTTCTTCTGTAGGGGCTATAATTTGCCAACATCACCACTGGTATAGTCTCAGACATGAAAGTGTTTGCATCTATCAGCTATGAAGTCAGTACTACAAGCACAAAATTTTAAGATCATTTCCATTTTTTTTTTTTCGTTCTCTAGAATATAATTTCAAAATCCTCTTTCTTGGTATTTTTTTCATGCTGTTTTTTGATCTAATTTATGAAGGAAACATGACCACTAACTTCAATTATTATAATTTTTAACATACATGATTTTTTTTTATCAATCCGCCCCGATTTTCAGCTCTAAACTGTCATGCGTAAGCAAGCGCAAATAATTTTTCATACAAGTATCACCGAACCATCTGCCCATACAGCGATATAAAATCGATCAAACATCACGATATAAATATCGACTATCGACTTTTGTACAGTATCGATGGCTGGTAGCCATCTTCTAATTCCAGCTGTAGCGATCAGCTGACCAACGCTAGTGATCCGATTGGTTGGTTCTTAAGGAAAAGTTCAATATATTGAACTTTAATTTAAGAAGTGACCTTGAAATTAAGAAAACGACCATAACCTCAATATATTTTGTCATTTATGCAAAAATGAACTGATTTGGATACTTACTGCAACGTCATCATTAGGCGCTCCTCTGGCGATGTCCGATTGCGTTCAGGTGACTTCTGCAGGTACCTCTTCAACAAGGTCAGGAGTTGATACCACCGCGGCTTTTCGTTATTTTGCTCTAGGCATGGCCATCCTCAATTAATCGCACAAAAAACAAGTCAAAGGCAGAAAAACACACCCGAAGACGAACACCAAAACAAATCTCTACCACAAATTCGTCAACAACTCAAACAAAAACAACAGATGAGTCACTGCCTGGCTTTCTGGGTAAATCGTCGTGGAACACGGGACACCACAGAATTATTATAATTACGTCAATACGAGCATAGAACAGTATGGAAAGGGCTATCCAAGGGTAAGACGAGTTCCGAAACCACCCGAATCATGTCAAAAAATGGGTGTGACGTCACCAAAACGTTTGACCACCACTGGAAGTCACTAGCTTAGAGATGATCTTAGCAGCGACTTGCAAGTCGCCTGGATACCGGTGACAGCGACCTTAAAGTCGCCGGTAGATTTAGCAGCGCTTTAGGTCACTGCTTATCTATGGTCGCTGCCAGCAGCCAGCGATTCCCTGGCGCTGATTAAATTACTCGATATTTGGCGGCGATTATCCATTGATATTAACGAGGTATAGATGTTCAGGTTCCTGAAGATTTGAATTAAACTATATTTAAGGTTTTTTTTTTTAACAATATTGAGCACAAAACACATAACATCATAAAAATACATCAAATATCTTTCTATGCATCTTAAAAAGTAAAACAAAATACTATTTTACCAGTCAAAATAAAACTTTTAAAACATAACAAATGTAGTATAAAAATGCTTCTTTTATATGTTGAACATTGCTTAATAACAGAAACATTTTTCTATGAAACAGGAACTCACAACAATAACAATAAAAACTAACAAAATAGGTTAGGCTACGCTGTAGCGACCCTGTACTTCCCGCGCGATGAGTATATGCTTCCTGGCAGCGAGCGCGACCGAAACAGCGTTACAGCTACCGATCAGTGGTTACCGATACCGATACTTCCAAACAGCGATCTGGGTCGCTGCTTCATGGAGAATCTGGTCGCCGGGACTAACGGCGACCATTCAAGTCACCGGGAAAGGTAGCCGGTACCGATATATCGATCATCTCTACACTAGCTAGTTACTATCTGGAGGCGTAACATGTGGAGGACACTGGTGTATAAACAGCTGATCCTTAAGTTCGGTTAGTTTAAGTCGTGCATGAACCCGACATAAAATACGTGAATAATACATCTTAAAAGTATCTACTTACCAAATGTAAGAAAAAAGCTTATGAACCCGAGCAAAAAATAACATCAACAACACTGCTCTTAATTTAACCTCAAACTGACTGACAGGGTGAAGTGAGCGGCAATTATTACCTTGGGCGGGAAAAATATAATCCTCAAAGCTTTTGGATTTTGCCAAGAGATGCCACGGGTAGTAAATAATTCTCTTGAAAACGGTGGTGGTACGATTTACCCGGCGGTACGCTTTATCCGACTTTACCCTATAAAGTAGTCGCGATATTCAAACGTAAGTCTTACAGTAAGTCATATGTTGTATCTGAAGTCACTTGAAATAGCATAAAAACCTTTGGTCCTTTGTAATTTCATGACGTATCATAGGCGTGCGGCATTTATTTAGAACGATAATAATAATGTTTTTATATCACAATAAATGGATTTTACTATCTTCTTATTTTTTTGATTTGGGATAAAAAATACTTATATTGGGAGTTTAATTTATGTTGACTGAAAGTTAAGAAATGGAAAAATTACAGAATTCCAACGTTTGACATAGGCAAATATTTACACAGCAGGTAGGTATATAAAAAGGTATATAAAGACTTACATTATAGGTATTTATATATCATCCTCGCCTTCGGAGCTGTCGCTAGAGTCATCTTGTAGACAGGGGCGTAGCTACCGCCGTATCTGCCGTATCAATTATACGGGGTCCCCAAAGTGTGTAAGGAAAAAGAAATAAAAACTTCCTAATTTATTTTATTTTACAAATGACAAAATTCTATAAAGCAATTACTTTTTATACCGCCTTAAGCGTGCGTTCAAAAGTTGGCAACACTGTACATCGTTATGGCGGGCTGTGGGACTTCCCCGTTTTACTTACTTCATCTGCAACTCAGCGGGGAATCCCTCAATAATAAAATCGATATCGCGAACGTGTACGTACATACTCTATATTGGATGTTAAACCACGGAGTGCAGTGCAGTGTTTATTTACGCGTTTTATGTAATTGTGCATTACATTGTAATTCAGTACAAACAATATTGTTCTGGTGGTTTAACAATATTAGTAGCGATTTGTAAAAGAAATGAGTGAAAGGAAAAGAGATTATCCCAGCGGTGCTGAGAAAAGAAAAAGTAAACGGAAAAGGGAAGAGGTTATAAAAAAAGTGCCCAAAATTTCTTCATTTTTTCATAGACAAGATACTGTGAGTGATTTAGATTGGAAAGGTAAGTACTACCCAACCCATTTATTCGGGGTCCGTAGTGATAAACAAGGAAATCTTTTAATTTCGGCCTGTCAATCTGTCCGTCACAAAAAGTGGTCTCCCCCCCTTCGATTTTCACAACTACTGGTCCAAAAATCTAAAAAAGATATTGGAGACTCCTTACTAATTAAACTTTTACATGAAATTGGTTTGGCAAAAATCTTAAAACGGATAAGGTTTAAAAATAAATGACAATTTGTAAAATTACTTCTTCGAAAAACCGAAGTACTTACTAATTTACACAAGTACTATTTTACACGACGCTAATGTGGATCTGCGTGGTTAGATACGCGTGGTTGGTATATTATTTACCTGTAGCGAAGGGTGAATTTTGTTTTTAGGGTTCCGTGCCTCGAAACAAAAAAAAACCAAAACTCTAACTTATCTATAAGATCAATTTGTTTTGTTGTTTGTCTATCAGTCTGTATCGTATCGTAAATTGCGTGTTGAGAACTTCAGATGTGCAGACTCGCTTTCGGGTTGTTCTCGTTTTGTATGGCCACTACACTACGCGCTGCGTTCAAATAGCACGCAGGTGTAATGTAACGCACGGACGGGCTGCAGGTGATTTTGTATCTACTAATACGAGCACAATCCGCGTAGAGTCTGTGTGCGTCTGAACTGAACACTCTCTAACTGTGACCCTTAGTAAAGTTATTTATTTATATATAACTCTTTTTAGTTTAGTATCAAAGCATTCGTATTTATTTTTTAACAAATACTCGTTTATTTTTAGATTCTTCTGAAGCACGTTCTTCGTCAAATATCCATTCGGAAATAGAAGAAAGCCAAGCACATACTTCATCGGATGTCCATCCAGAAATTGAAGAACACCAAGTCAACGATTCTGATATATTTGAAGATTGTAATATAATTTCATCAGATAGAGGAAATTTTGGTGACAATTTATCTGAATGCGAACGAAAAATAATTTTTAAATTGGGTCCATTTAAACCACAAGGACCATTTCCAAAAGATTCAGAAAGTAACCGACCTTTTTCGGCCTATTATTATTCATATTTCAATCAGGCAGGCATAAAACTTGTAAGACCATGGTTATGTTATTCTAACGTTTTAAACAAACCGTACTGTCACTTCTGTTGGTTATTAGCAGATCGTCAAAACAAATCGTACTCCTCTGCTTGGGTTAACGGTGTTTCGGTTAGAAGCAATTTTACGCAAACTATACTTGACCATGAAAAGTCACAGCAGCATATGAATGCCTCACTCTCTTATAATAATTGGTTGCAAGGAAATACCATCGATACTCTATTGCAAAGTGAAATCAATAGTAAAATTACATTCTGGAGAGATGTACTGCATCGTATAATTAATGTTATAATTACTTTAGCATCTTGTAATCTATCTTTGAGAGGGCATGATTCTGATTCTGGAAATTTTATGGCAATTTTACGTTTGCTATCTAACTATGATGCAACTTTAAAAGAACTTCTTCTAAAACCGAAAGGCGAAATAAATTATTTAAGCCCTACGATTCAAAACGAAATTATTAGTTTGCTTGGTACCACCGTTAGGAACAATATTATCTCAGAAATTAAAAAAGCTCCATTTCTGACAATAATTCTGGATACAACACAAGACTTGTCAAAAATTTACCAACTTTCTGTAGTTTTTCGATATATCTCGGTTACAGAAAATGATGATAATGTGCCTAAAGAAATAAAAATCTGTGAGTCCTTTTTAGGATTTATAGCAGTAACCGATTGCAGTGCTGCAGGTCTGAAAACTGCCTTTTTAAATTTGACTAAAGAATATGGAATTGATTTGACTAAATGTAGAGGACAGGGTTACGATGGAGCAAATGTTATGTCGGGTATTTATGGAGGATTACAAACCCTAATAAAAGAGCATGCTCCAAATGCCGATTATGTTCATTGTGCTGCGCACGCTTTAAACTTAGTTTTAAACGATGCTGCGAGACACGTTCGTGAAATATCGACTTTTTTCGATAATTTAGAAAAAGTATATACTTTTTTTGGCAATAGTATAAAACGCTGGGCTATGCTAAGTGACGATCCGTCTGAAAAATATTTGATTACCCTTAAAAAGGTATGTCCAAAGAGATGGTCTTCTAGGAACGACGCTTTATTAGCGGTAAAGAAAAATTTTTTACTAATCATGAAAACTTTGTACCAACTAAATTTAATTTCAAATAAAAAAGATGAACGTGAAGAATGTAAAAATATAATTAATATTTTAGAGAGTTATGATTTCTTAGTGCTCGTTACATTTTTTTCTTCACTATTTGAAATTATTAATCCTATTTCTAAAGCTCTACAGCATGAAAATAATGACTTACAGAAATCTAGTATTTTATTAAGTAATCTTTTAAATAGACTGTTCCAATTAAGAAATCAGATTTCATTTAATAGTTTGCTAAATGAGTCCAAAGATTTAGCAAAAGAGTGGGGGGTAACAACTGTTTTTAAAAACAGTAGGCGAAAGATAACGAAGCGTTTTTTTGATGAGTTATCACAAGATGAGAGAATTTCCGACCCGGAATCCTATTTCAAAGTCAATGTATACTATTGCTGTTTAGATATATTAATTTCTCAAACTAAAGAAAGATTTCAGAGCCTTTGCGATCTGAGTAGTATGTTCGAAATATTACAACCGGAGAAACTCCTATCTTCTTCAAACGAAGAGATATTAATCGCTTCCGGAAAACTGTCCGTTAAATACAGTAAAGACATCTCAGTTAATCTTTGTGACCAATTAAAGGCTCTAAAAACATGTTTAAAATCTGAAATTCAAAAAATTTATTCCATTAAAGAACTCATTGAATTATTGCTAGTAAAATTCAATAGTCTTGCATCTAGTTTTCCCGAGGTAATCACAGCATGCTTTTTATTCTTGACCCTTCCAGTTACAACCGCAACTGCTGAAAGAAGTTTTTCAAAATTAAAACTGATAAAAAATTACTTAAGAACTTCGATGGGACAAGAACGGCTGTCAGACCTCTCACTATTGTCCATAGAGGTAGAAACTTTAGAAAAACTAAAATCATCATCAGCCATAAATGATTTAATAAATCAGTTTGCCGAAAAAAAGGCAAGGAGAATGAATGTTTAAAATTTGATTTTTATTTGTAAAATGGTTAAATTATGTTATGATAAATAAATATTTCTTTTCACAATATTTTTTTTCTTTTGTGAAAAATCTTTACCCCCAAAGAATATAAGGGCCCCCAAACAATTTTTTATACGGGGCCCCGCCAATGCACGCTACGCCACTGCTTGTAGAGGAATTACAACGGGATTTACAGGAGGCAAAACACAATATTCATTTTCTTTTTCAATAATATGCCTAGAACACTGCTTCCATAGGTCTGTGGCAGCAATATGAGATACTGCATCTCTTATTGTGGCCAATAGCGATTCACTTAATTGACGGGTCTGATTATGTTTTCTTACTTTTTTTTTTAAAGCAGCCCAGACCAACTCAATCGGGTTAAAAATGCAGTAATAGGGAGGTAGACGTAATACTTCATGGCCATTTTGCTGAAGCAGATTGTCAACAACATACTCTTTTTCAAATTTTTGTCTTTTAATAAGATCCAATAATATGGCTTTGGTTGATTTATGTGGTATTTCCATTCCCTTATCCTTCATAAAATCAATAATGTCTTGTTTTTTTTGTGCCTGTATTCGGAATTTTGTTTTTCTGTCGGGAATGGTATGGCGCATTGTCCTTAATAATCACTGAATTTGGGGAAATGTTTGGTATTAACTGCTGCTCTATCCACTTTTCAAATAAGTCGGAGGTCATGTCCTCATGATAGTCGGCACATGATTCTTTGATATTTTTGGCAGATAACAGCAAGGCATTAGGTATAAATCCATTTTCACTGCCAGCATGGAGAATAATGATTCGTTTTCCACGGTTGCATGGTGCATTTAAAATGCACTTGTTGCTGTCGTCAACCCAGCCGTACTGCACAACATCATGGGTATCATACCACGTTTCATCCAGGTAAATCAGATTTCTTTTCGGCTCTCTATAGATTTTAACTTTGTGAAAAAATTCTTGGCGCAATTCAACGATTCGAGACGACTCCATAATCACCATTCTTTTATCTAATTTTTTGTATTGAAAACCACACAGTTTTACAATACAGTGCAGTGAGTCTAAGCATTTGTAATTATAAAAATCTTCAGGATAATCTTTTAATTTATCCCGTATCATTTCCAACGTGGGCACCAAATTTTCTTTATAAAATCCGTATATTATACGACGAATATCTTCCTGAAAACCCACGTCTATTCTTTTTAATTTTTGCCCTATGCGCTTTCTGTGGAAGGAATGGTTGGCTACATCTCCCCTTTTTATAACCCGATAAATGGTAGACCGACTGATTTTTGTCAGGATACAAATTCTGTTTAAAATTTGATTTTGCGAGGAATCTGGATTTTCGTTTTTCAGACAATCATACATATTTAGGATTACTCTTTGGGTCTGTTCCTCTAAATCTTTATGAAAGAATTCTGCCTGCACAGGTTCATCAACCATCTCCTCGTGGCTTGGAGCATTTTCCCAAGGTCTCCAAAGAGCCATATTTAGGACACACAAGAACAATCAACACAACAATTAAATCAACAAGTAAACTGAGTATTAAAAAGTCAAAAACACACAAACTAATAAAATCTATGAAAAAACACGGACAGACTAAAGAAAACACGTTTATTCACCCCTACACGGCACTGGCTAAACTGTTTCAATTTTCAGTAGGCACCTGCACTTCTTCCGAGCTCTGAAATACACGCTTTCTCATTGGCTATGTCCACGCATAGGCGTGCTTTACTCCACGTGGACCGGTGAAACTGCCTTTGATCTCTTATACGGGGGATATTTGCTGCGAAATTTGGCGATTTTTGCAGCAACAGAGCGTGTTAAATATAGATATATAAAACGCACCCGGTATTTCACAGTGTTTCAAGTGACTTCAGATAAAGTATACCTTGATAACTGAAACCACCTGAAACTGTTAATGATCAAAAATAATTGTCATTTTCGGTCAACCGCATAACCGGTTATTTTTCCTTCGATTAGCCGATGTTGGTCGAAGTTATTCAAAAAATAACATAAAATATGTTGCCTTTGCCTTACTGCCATCATTTTAAAATGTAACTTTGAAAAATTAGATAATAATCGTGGAAGTCTAGGACTGGAAGCGCATCACAGTAGCGTATTGGGAGGGGAGGATTTTAAAATGTTTTTTAAATTATCTAAACTGAATCCAAATTCAAGATGAGATGTAAATAATAACAGTTAGCGCGTGATCTCTCGGTAACAGGTGGGGACAACGCCTCTTATTGGTCAATTCGCCATTAAATTTCAAGCGGTCGCCTGGCGGAATAATGCGCGGGACAGAGGCAGGGCAGGCAGAGTTGCACTCAGGCCACCGTCCGTCGCGTGTATCACTGCGTGCTCGTGTTTTCGTATTCACCTTGCTTGGTTGTTGCTGTTGTTGTTGTTAAGTGTATTTTAGTAATTTCTGTTTCTGTTAATACTGTCATCTTTGTTTTACAACACGTTGGTGGTAGTCCATCATTCGGAGGTAGCCCTGAATGCGGCTATGTACGCCGTCCTTGCTTTTAGCAATCACGCATCCATTCTATCTTGGGTGTAAATACACTATATACAGGGTGTCCGCAAAGTTGGGGTTTTCCTTTTCAGAAACAACTACCCTTGAAATAAGAAAGGTAATGTGTAGTGAAACGAGGGCGACCAAGTAAAAAAAAAAATAAAGCAAAAAGTACTCGCTCCCCAGTTGACCAGAAGAGCTAAGTACGTCTCTGCACGAAATCATACCGCTCCAACAGAAAATGAAATCAGCTGATGCGCTACCGAGCAGACGCAGAAACCACATTGATTGTCTTGCACTTAATGGCACATCTTCTTACAAGGAAGGCAAAATGGTGCGTAAAAAGTCTAGGTATTGCATCCCGTCCAATCGATTTGGGAGAATAAATGGTCCAATGAGCATACTGTTCACCATGCCAGCCCAAACATTCACCGAAAATGTTTGTTGAAAATGTGCCCGACGGACAGCGTGCGGATTTTCTACTGACCAAACATGAATTAGTTATTCACCCCATTACGCGTGAACGTAGATTCGTCTGTCTCCAATATGCACTTAAAAAAGTCCGGATTATTGTCATGTTGATGCAACAACCACTCACAAAACCGCACTCTTGCTGGAAAATCATCATGTTGAAGGGCTTGTACACGTTGGACGTGAAACGGATACGGACCCTCTTCACGCAGCGTTTGCCACACTTTAGTTTTTGATACTTGCACATCTCTAGCCACGTCTCTAGTGCTTGTTGAGGGATTCTCGTCTACGCGATTACCTCTGCACGCGTGACCGTAACCGTCGGTTGAAGGTTGCATACTGACCTGACACACTGAACCCGACCCAGATCTGTCGTCGGGTTGAGCCAGTGACCTTGTACCAGTCGGTGATGTCGCGGCCACAGGACGGTATTCAGATATTTTTGATGTTGCAGAGCCCTTTATCTCGGTTCCCTTAAGACATTGGTGTATATGGTACTAAGAAAAATTGCTTATGTTTTCAAGATCTACACGTCGTGTAAAGGAAAACCCCAACTTTGCGGACCCTGTATGCCTATAATGGCTACAACAATTTTCAAATTACGCCTGTATTTTAATAGTGATGTGATGAGAGTTCACTGGCCATGGATCATTAAACAATATTTAGCACGACATGTCGCTAGGCGATGTCAACAAATCTTTCGTTCTGTGTCAACTTGAAGATTTTTAGGTTATAAAAATTGTGTTGATCATATTTTCATATTTGTGGGTCACATGATGATGTGAGGTGTGATGCTAAAACTTGTATTTCATAATATTAATTTCCTTTCAATTCAATGATTCGCTTTAAACATGATGTAAAAGCACATTTCCTGATGTAGATTATGAGGTAAGATAAGACACTTTAATTCAGTTTTGTTGTATCATGTTTTCCGGAACCTTATCTTATCAGCAGCACTGTTTAAAAAATCTAGGGCTAAATGTTATCTTTTTTATTACAATAATTACTCTTAATAGGTTGCATTGGCATCATTTGTTCGTTGCTGTTTCAGACGAACAGTTCCATATCTTGCAATGGATCACTACACATCAGACAGTAGTGACAGTGATGCAGATAGTAGCAAAGTGATTGACTTGGCATACCTTCTATTGGATCAGACATCTGTCGAGAACAAGCTAGAGGAATATAACGATGAAAAAGAATCCTTTTTGGTTGAAGTTGAAAAAGCAATACTCCATCACAATCGGTTGTCACAATTGCCTGAGAATCTAGTTTTATTTAGGAACATTAGCACACTTGATATAAGCAGCAATGGTTTGAGAGTACTGCCAAATATTTCAGGTAAGTTACAGTATTTTATATTCTAGGTTACTGTGTACCACCAAATCTCTATCATATGATAATACATACAAATACAGACTTTTAGCTTTACATATACCTTCAAATACAAATACACATACTTATTCTCTTTTAATAATAATGCTAATACCTTTATTGCCATTTGAGTTGAAGTATTGTCAAATTGTCAAGAAACATAAAATGAAAACATACTGAAGTTGTGATTCAGTTGACACTAATTTCAAAGCTACAAGTAAATAATGCAAAAATAATATACAAGTAATGTATATAATATATATATATAATAATGTACAAAAAATAACAATACAAACAAACAGATTAAAGAGAAATGAATTAATAATGAATAAACAAAAAATGACAGATTAACAGGTTGAAAACATTAAAAATAAATTATCTGCAATTATTCAATTCTCAAGTCAGATGATAAGTATTCTTCAATGCTTTAAAAAGGGTTTTCCATAAATATACCTTAAATGTGGCATAGGAAAATATTGCAATTGATGACAGATCTGATAACTATTTGCAGCTTGTTGAACAATCTGATAAGCATTATGAGGGGACACTTTGCTGATGAAGCAAGGCTATGTTGTGGGGTATGCAGACAATATGTATTCCTCAGATTTAAACCACTCTCTCTCTTTTAAACATGACACACAATTAAAAATATAAAGTGAGTATATTGTCATGATGTAGAGAATTTTAAATAGCTCTTGAGAAAATGTGAGCCTAATACTAAAAGTCATTGTACAATCACTCTCTTCTGCACAAGTAGCAATTCTGACACATGTAAGCTGCTACCCCAGCAAATGATACAGTTATTCATAACAGACTGTATGTGAGCAAAATAGTATAATACAAGTACTTCAGTACCTACAAACTGCCTTAGTCTCCACAACACAAAACAATGCTTTAATATCTTATTGACTAAACAGTCTAAAGCCAACACATGATGTATTGCCTAGATTTATGAAGAAAATAATCACATTTGTATATAAGGTGGATTTGACTGTTGGCATCTGTAGTAAAAATGCTGTAATCCCATAGTGATGTCTGTAGAGATGCTACATACAGTTTTATACATTTAAGTATTCTGAATTCATTCATCAGCAAGTTCATCATCCTATGAAACTCATATCCAGTTTGGATTTTCCATTTTAAATTGTGGTCGAAGATGTACTACAAAAAGACTTTCATCACATGCAAGTGTGGAACCCAAAAAATTTGGACTAGGTACAAACTTTTTGCGATGAACCAAAATTACATAGTAAGTAGTCAGGATACAAGTGCATAGTACACGTCAATCAGGCTTGAGCTGCCAATTTGACAGTTGTCTACATGTCTCATTAAATAAATATTGTTCTGCGAAAACATATAAAAGTGAGTGGGTTCCATACAATCCTAGTGTTCCAGATAATTGCCAAAAATGTAAAGTTGGTTGCATTAGCTCCATAATTGGTGGGGTATACATTCCCGGAGTTACAAATATATTCTCCTATGATCCTTACTATCAGATAATTAATATTCTCAGGAAGCAATACCCCAAATGTAATTTTTATATTTTTGCTGGTATGTACTGATGCTTTCTGAGAAAGTGATGGTTCTGGTCTGCTTGATAAGAGTCCTCTTGGCTCAGCTGGATTAATTTTGGTTATGTTTATCTAAACTTTTTCCAGAAAATGTTTATATCAAATAATAGGCGTGTTTATTTGGATCTCATTTTTATTACTGAAAGCAATTTGATAGTGACTGGCCATCAATAATTATTTGAGTGGAACTCATTGGGATCTGGATTTGAGTTCATCTGACACTAATGATAATATTTCAATCTTCTATCATATAATAAATGTCTAATGTGGCTAGGTCTTTATTTGTTCATCTCAAAATATATTAAACCTCGCATTTTCCCAGCTGATTCTCAACTGAGTAGAGATATTTCATTGGACAAAAAACTTCGAGTCCTGCAACTGTCTCTGACGGTGAGATTTTTTCAAATCTGAGCTAGGTGCAAAGTCCTGACATATTTGTTGGTTGAACCTAATCAATTTTTATCTACTAACATATGATGAACATTTCAATATAAATCGGATCTAGTCCATTTTGTAGCAAATTTTTTTTTCTCATAGCTCTCTTAGTTTATCTGATCAATAATTGCATCTATATAAATGTTTGAGGAAATAAAGTGCTTCAACCTTTTTGTCTTTGTCGAAGTATGTAAATTGCTGTTTTGAAAAAAGTAACACATTAATTATATATTATCTTCTAGATAAATTGTTATGTTTTAAAATTGCATATACAGAAAATATTCAAGAGTTTTGGGATGCTCTTGACTTTGGTGAACAGTTAGTTAATTCCACGGCAATAACTTATTATATAATATAATTATTCTATGCCAATTGCAGGATCATAGATTATCAATAAGATGTCACATATAATCAGTGCTAATATTGTTTCATGTTAAAAAAACATATGTCCTAATACGAATAAGGAAAGAGAATGCTCATCCCAGAGGGAAGTTATTGTAACAACCATTTCTCCAAACTTAGTCCAAATGGAGTTCATCCAAGCTGTTTGAAGTCTCAAAGAAAAATGCACCAAATTATCATGTCCATTGATCATAGAGAGAATAAAATTGTCTATAGTTTAAACTATACAGTATCAAGGTGGCTATACATATTTTTAATAAGTATATTATTTTTTATTTTAGAACACCTCTCATTAGTGAAACTTATAGCTAAGAATAATTTATTGCACAATGATTCTTTGCCAAAATGCTTCACCAATTGTACAACCTTAAGAGAACTGAATCTTAGTGGAAACCAACTGACACACTTTCCTGAACAAATATTAGACTTTGTAAATTTAAAATTTTTGTATCTTGGTGGCAATGGAATGCAACATATCTCAAAAAACATTTGGAAATTAAAAAAGTAAGTATACACTAATGATGGCCTTCTTTCAACAATAAAATATATCATAAACAAGAATGACTCAAAAAAGATGTTGAGTGAAAGGTCAACTTAAATACTGATATTTTCTAAATATACTTGGATATGTGGTACTGAATAGCACATTAAATTTGCAATTGACTGTAACCTCCATAGTTTTATTATTTGATGGTGGCACAATTGAATAATAGTCAAAAGCAGCAGGTCTGGAAATTCTCTTTCCTGAAAGGCACTTATATGACCTTCAGTTTTTTGTCTAATACTGCATTGCCTTTTAAATATATAATACTATTTTCAGTAAAGCAACATCTTGGAGTTAGGAAAGCTTTAGATAAGTTACAGAATTTTTGTAACGGTCTGGTTATGATTACAGAAACAATGGAATTGCTATATCCTTAAAATATCCTTTTAGACTTACATTAGCAAACAGATTCACTTTATTTCGACTGTCACCATTAATATTACGTCACGGCTACGATGCTTGCTTTACAGAGTATTGGACGTAGCATACAGTGAAATCTGGGTAACTTTTGCATTTAAATACCTCTGTTACCGAGAATTTTCAAACCTTACTATTCAAGATTCAATTCTGAGGTTTTTACGATGTTTACCACTATAATTAGCATTTTGCAGCTAGTATGTATAAGTGAGATAATTTATCAGGTTTAGTCTATATAGAGCCGATTTATCAGATTTAAATATACAGTGCGTTTCTTTAATGTCCCACTTCCCTTTGATCTTTTGAACGGATCAATTCAAAAAATTAAAACCTGAGGTAATGAAATTGATGCGTGGATGCCATATTTTAGAGTAAAATTGACAGATGAAAATGTCAAGATGACCGAAAACTAAATAAGAATATTTTAACTGTATTACTGATGTTTGTTTTCGTACTGATATTCTTGTCACTGTCAACAAAAAATAACAAAACAAGTTTTTATCGCTGTTGCTGTGGATACGGCAGAGAATTACAATTATTTGTAGAGATATGCATGTTAGTGGGTTTATGTTCAGGTAATTATTAAATGTACCACCATTTTGTAGTAGATAAATGTATTGACTTTATATTCTAGGGTTATAAAGTACTCGTCAGGAGCTTCAAAATGCAGACCCCCCCGTTTTCATATAATTTTTTTCCAAGATGGCGCACAGCGGTCATCTTGACTTTTTCATGTATCAATTCTACTCTAAAATATGGTATCCACGCATCAATTTCACTACCTCAAGTTTTAATCAATTAATTGATCCGTTCAAAAAATCAAAGAGGAGGGGGACATTAAAGAAAAGCACTGTATAATAGCATGTTGGTTTACGTACATTCGGATTTTGTCTGTACTTGATTTGGGGGACCCTCTATGAATAAGAAAACTACAATTTCGAACCTATTTAGGGCACTGGGTAAATGAAGAGCGTCTATGACTGATCTTATTGAGACCCCAGGTTTCACTGTACCCAATACCGAGTATAACAAAATTAACAGACCAGCTCTGTATTTTTCCTGATAAGATATTTTTGAAAAAGTTCAACGTTAATTCATCACGAACTTTGAACGAGAAGCGCAACAGTGACGTTGGATTTGAAATCGATCGCCAAATTTAAGGTTATTTAAAAGTCAACTTTTGTTTCTTAATTGAACCGGTTTCGAAAGAACGGCAGGGACATTATATAAAAAACTTAAAAAGCGTCAAAAAACCGACGATATGTCATCTTGCAGACTAGAAAGTTTTCAGTGTGCAAATGGTTCGTTCCACGTTTGCTCGCTATAATCCCTATTTGCTGACGTTTTAGCAACAGGTACAGCTACAAAACGAGTTCATAACAGCTTGTTCTAAGTTAATATCTTCTAGAAAAACCTACGTTATGTCACAAAAAACCTACGAAATGTCACTTTTCAATATACGTAATACCCGTGCGGCATGGGTATTACGTAACTTGAAAAGTGACATTATTTCGGTTTATTGACATTATGTAGATTTTCCTGTATGATGTCAACTAGGAACTAGCTGTCGTTCACTTCATGCTTATTTGTAGCAGGCGCGAAATGAATTATTTGCACACTACCAGCTATATAGTCAACAAGTTGATATTTTATCGGTTTTTTGACATTAGATCGGTTTTTTAACTAATAACCCTACGGAACATTCGGCTCAAAAGGGATCATCGCCAAGAGATATCTTTTTTATGCGGGTTCTAAATTACTCTTTAAACTAAAATTTTTAACAATTTGTAAATATAAATTTAAAGTATTGATTATTTATCAATATTTTCATAATGAGGCTGCTTCGGTGTAAAAAATGGTGCCAAGTATGTTGTCTGTGTACGGCTCACGCAACGCTGTCATCAGTTAATAAAGAGTTGTGTTTGGCACAAGTTAGCAGTTCTAAGAAAAAAGTTCGCTAGGAACATGTATAACACGCAATTAAGTGACCTTCCTTCTCCCCCTGACAGGAATTCCTGCAGACCCACATGACCAATCCCGCGTGAATTGTGATATTGGCCTTCACCATGCACAGTGCACACAGCAGTGTAGACGCGATTGCGGAGTGTGACGCACGACCATCGACGATGACGCACGTATCGACTCCCGACTGTAAATGTGCATATATGCGTAGAATTACTGGTGTTGGGGTCGTATAAATACACCAATATCAAAAAGTTGTGATATAGTAGACACTTGTAGAAAGTAAATGTTCTGATTTTGATATAATTATTATTCACATCTTGAATGCGTGGTATACTATAATAATAGTAGATTGAGTGATTGGCTACTGGAAACAGATGAACTTGAATTCTGTACATCTTAATCTACCACAGATTACCATGGAATAGAAAAGTTTTTCATGGACTCTTGTAGCAGTATACTGGCAAGATAGGTTATATATAGTATATGAGATATATGTATAGCTAAGAATTCAAACAAGGAAGAGTGCAGAATCAGTTTGTAACAGAGATTTTGGGCTAATTGGCTATACGTTGAGAATGGGATTTTGTAGAAGTATATTATTTTTTTGTACACTGAAGCGGCCATGAAGGCGGAACCCAAATAGAAATGTACCACGACTGGCATACGGAAGATACAGATGTCTTGCTGATTCGCATTTTGAACTGATTAAGGTTCGTAGTACTGGGGACGGCCTCTCTTGGCAGATTATTCTCGACACCATGGGAACGAAAGAGCGGTCGTAGCGGTCAATCCTCGGGGAAATTATGAATATTATAAAAATTATAACATGTTGAGACAGAAAGCGTTACGAGTTCCGCGTTCTGCGTTCTTTGTAACTAATAGATCATAGATCTTTATAGAGTCGCGCAGGCACAGCGGCAGTCCGACTGCGCCCGTCAGTGTGAACGGTCGCGTTCTTACGTTCTATTTTCAGAAATACAAAGAACTCGTGGAACGCTTAGTTCGTAAGATGGCTTCCATAGAAAAATTAATTGATTTAGCAAGGGAAAGGCGTTTTTTATATGATCTTAGTAACGCATACTATAAAAATAGTTTGAAAAAAATGCAGCATGGCTTGAAATAGTCACGGAAATGGGAAAATACTGCAAATCTTTCTTTTGTAGATATATCGTCGGATATCTGACAATACCTGCTATATGCAGGAACCGTAATTTTACAGGGGACGAAAAAAACCTTATCAATTTTATACTACCGGCCTTAAGACTCCACAACTTTGGTTACAAAAGATAAAAGACGTTTAACACATATTTAATGCGTTTTTATCTAAATGAAGCTCTAATTGACAAAATTAGTGCAGATAGCTGATATTTCTGATAACTTTCTTTGCAGTTAGCAGATATTGTACTATGATGCATAGATGGGTTTAGTTAGACTTGTGTTAGAAAAACTATTATTCATTATATCAAATTAAAAGTTTAACGGTTTTACAAATCAAAATAATAATAGCATGTATTCTCAGTTACACCTTAAATGAACGTTCAGCTTCTTTCCTTGACATATCGCAAATTGTAACATGTGACAGTCCTGAAATGACGGGTAGCTGTTTTGGTCCCATAGGCAACTCCTGAGGCTCTACACTGAAGTCTAGTTTCACTTCAATTTTTCCATCGGGATTATAATTTAGTACTTTGATGTCCGTGACTACATTGTCACTGCCTGGTCTAATTGTTGATCGATACTGCACCTCTGTTGGAGAGTAGTCCTTGAAGAAGTCCTAACTCAATTGGATCACCTCATATGGCTCTGGCTTGGACCTAGCATCTTTTGACGCCTTAACATAGTCATTTGGTAATTCAATAAATCTATTTCTCAATTTTCTTTAAATGCAACTGTGTACAGAGTCACATTCCATTTGGGTGTGACCTTTGGTGAGATATTTCTGAGAAATGACAACGTCGTGTTTCATTGCAAAGTTAAGAAAAATAGCACGCGTAACTGTCAGATAGCTGGAATTGCCGCTCATTGACGGACGTGTTGCCAGTGGTAGCTAATGTTTTGGCTGAATAATTCAAAAACTCATTTTCTCTGCAGTTAGCGGACTGTATCACAATGTGCGCTGTAGGTAGACGAAGAAAAATGTGCATATACTTCAAATTGGGCAAAAATGTCAGATGTGCGACGATATCCTTTCTTCAGTTGTCTTGTTTCTGTATTTCCTTTTTTATATAATCATCTACTCAAAAAATCGTTCTACATCTTCAAGCAATGCAGGAAAAAGAACACTGAACTGTCCTTTTTCATCTCTCTTACAATTAACCGGATTCACCCAGTACCTTTTTTCTTATTAGTCTCTTCCAAACTCCACAAAAGCAACGCTTCGTCTTCTGAAGACCAACTATCAAAATGCATGTTGCCGACTAAGACGACGAGTCAGAAGGTTTGTTGCTCGTTGCTCTTTCCTCTGTCGGTTTTAAATACCGTACTAACAAAGCAAGCTTCTTCAAATAGATTTTCTTTTACGTTATAAGTAGATTATGAAAACGTTAGACAGGGTAATTGTCATTGACTTCAATCAAAAATACGGCTAGTGTCAAGGGTTCCGATGATAACCAAACTTTCCACACTGACAACGTTGAAGAGCACTGATACCATTGTTATTTCAATATAGAGATTAAATTTTGGTTGTTATTTTTTTATAACTGATTACATTCATTTTTTTTCTGGTGGTACACCCCATTTGGAACACATATATCGTAAAAAGTCGAACTTTTTTGAGTTGCGCGCATTTTGTGAAATCCTAGAAAAAATCCAAAATCGTATTAGAACCTAAAATTTTGCAATACCGATGTCAAAGAGTTATTAAAGGGGACGTTGAAATGGTCATCAACTTGATGTTTAGGGTTTAATCCAAGGTCGCCACTGAAATCCTTGTTAAAAGGAATAATAATCCTGCTGAACTTCTAGGAATAATCCCTAGCCTTACACATTTGACCTTTAGATGTGACCTTGATCTTAGGTTTAGATACATATTAGGAAGTAAAACTTTCTGTTCTTTCGATTATCGGTATCAAAAGAGAGCATTCCATTTAAAAAAACAAAATATGTCCTTGAAATAACTTTGAAGGTGAGACTAAAGGTCAAATCCAAGGTCACTATTGTTGTTAAAAGTGACTATGATCTTTTTCACAAATACCTGACTTGAAAAAATATAGAGCCGTTCGGTTACTTTTGTCACACCCAGTTCAAATGAAATATATGTAGTTGCTTATTCCCTTGTATTTTTGAAATGAAATAATCATAACATTAACATCATTATTCTAGCTTACAAGTATTGGCTCTTGGTGGAAATGAACTAACAGAGGTTCCAGCAACATTAGGTCAATTGTACTGTCTTCAAGCTTTAGTATTATGTGATAATAAAATAGAAACTTTACCTGCCAATATTGCAAACCTACATAAATTGAGGTCCTTACTATTACATAAAAATAAACTGAAGACATTGCCCCCTGAAATTGTGGCTCTTAAAAACATGGTGGAGGTAAGTTTATTTTGTTGAACTACATTGTAGCATCAAAAACATAAAGGAGTAAAACATTCTTCGTTTTTTATTTATTACTACGTGAGTTTGTATTACTGAAAAAAATGAAAACGCAGGGGATTTATGATAATCATCTCTGGATATTTCACAAACTTCTTGATTAAAATCGATATTTCACGTAAATCAAATGTTCACTTCTGTAATTGGAGTATATCTTGGAACTTTCAGTAAAATAATAGAAATAATAAATACGCTTATTTACAGTGAATATTAATTCACCAATTGATAATTTGACTTTATTTGTAGTTAAGTCTCAGAGACAATCCTTTGATTGTAAGGTTTGTGAGTGAAATGAGCTACAATCCAGCCAGCCTTTTAGAATTGTACAGCAAGGACTACCAAACTGCACAATCTGCCATGTAGACCAGGTGACATTCCTGCAACATTGTTCCGATATCTGAATTCGGCTCATCGTTGTGTTAATACTAACTGCAAAGGTACACCCCTGTTCTTGTTTCTTCTTCGAAATAAATTCGTATATCCATCCATTTATCAATAATAGCGAGCGCACCAAGTCAATTCGGGGCTTTTTACTCGCTTTATATAAATATACAAATACTTTTTTATAATTTATCCGCGATGATGACCAAGCAATCTGAATAAACTCGAATGGTCAAGAACTAGACAACAAAAAGGAACAGCACATTTTTTAATGTCACAACTCGTATCTCTGGTTCGCTGTGATGGGTATCACTCTCATCTCAGTTTTCGGTCTATTCTGGGACACGCGTTTATATTTCCTCTAGCAGCTCTGACGTAAGATCGACAGCTTATTTTAGATGTATATTTCATCAGTATAGGTTGTATTTACTCTGACCATTGAGGGTTTCTACACGACATACCACAAGTTTTGTGGTTTGTTATCAGCACATGAAAGGTTGTAAGCATAATCCATACAAACATAAATAATCGTACCATTGATTTATTGCAACATTTATTGTGGATATACAGTGTGTTTACAAAGACTTTGTTTTGCTTGTGAAATTATATTTGAATTATTTCATGCTAGGATCTTGTGATTTCTTCTATATAAAAATTGGTGTATTATTCTTTATAGGAAAATTACAATGAGAAATGAAGATTATCTATTTATGTGTTGCTGTTTACAAATTTTATACATTGCATTAAAAGTGCATTGTATCACACTTTATCACTGGAAATAATATACTGTTGTCTCTAGAGCAATGTCAACATTTCATTTATTTGAAAACTATTTTTCATTTAATATAATTTCCTGGTTATGAAATGTTATTGGAGCTAGACATTAAACGAAAAAATTAAAACTATTTTCCAAAATCGTCAATATGACGAATACTGTATTACCAGGATATAATCATACATTCTTGATTATCAGTTCTGGAATCTCGGAAATCAAATGCTGTTGAGGAAAGAAGGGAAATACAAAGCCAAAAGGACTTGATAAAATGCGAATCTTTTAGGATAGCTGATTAGATATTGTCAAAATATTAATCTGATAATATGATCTAAAAGGGTTTAATTTAGGAGTAGGCTTTGTTAGCATGTTTTATGATAGGTGATTATGCATGTTGAACCAATTCGGCCTTTAGTATGATCAAAAAGGATTTAATTTTTACGTAGGATTTGTTAGATTAGCTCGATTTGGATCATCAAAAGGTCGTTTTAATTTTTAGTTAGGGTATTTGGTTGTATAGTCGCCCAACAGAGTATCGCTATGCGATTTCACTTAACGTCGTGGCACCTATTATTTGGTGCAGTCCCCAATGTTAGAGATGTTGAAGTCTTTGCGCTAATTACCATTGGAAACATACCATGGTACATTAGTAAAGGCATGTATGGACCTTCTCAATAGAAACTGCAGCCTAACATTAATTCATATTTCTATAATTAGGGCTGCACCGATTAACACTTTTTTCAAAATGCCGAATACCGAATACTACTCTGTCAGATTCGTACATCGAGTACCGGGTACTCGGTGGAGTAACTTGGTCTGGGTTATTTCAGCTACTGTTAGTGATATATTTGCATTTTCAAAAAGTCTCTTTATTCACATGATTCAGTTACTTTTCCAACAAGTGAACGAACCACAAAAAAATGGTTGTGCAGCTTAAACAAATTTTTGTGAGTAAGCAAGTTGCACGTTAGTGTATTTATGGTATTTTCAGATTTTATGATATCTGAGAATCTTGCAACAGCTAGGTATATGATATCCACTACTGAATTCAGCAGCTACAATATTGAGTTAAAATTGAAGCGATTCCTCACATTACATTTTTGGAACATTTGTTTTTGATATACTTTCCAATCATTTCTGTTACTAGAGGAGCACATTTGTAAGATATTCAAACCAACATTTGGAACCTACATTTTTGAAACTAAACGTTATAGTTTTTTGAGCTACTTTTGGGACGAGATTACTGTATCTCGTGGCGGGACCAATTCAGATTGGGGAGGGATTATATCTAAATTATACTTATGTATAAATGAAAAGAACATGTTTTAGTATCACCTTGTATATTACGCATTTATTGAAAAGTAATCCAAAGCAGGCATCTGATACTCACGAAAATACATATCAAGAAGGTATGGGCGAAGTATTTGAGGTCAGACTTAGCACTACGTATCTGCAATTAATTTACGCAAGTTGTGTCTGCGTTGAAACCGAGTAATTACCCGGCCGAGTAATTTAATCTCGGCGAAACCCTGTACTCGGTAAAATGTCTCGAGTATGCCGAGTACCGGGTAGAAACCGAGTACTATGAATGAAACCGATATATTTGCTGGTACTTTCCCACGACCTGCGAACTCTCCCTTTACTATGATTTCAGTAGATTGTTGATTTTAATCATCTACTCACTCAAATAGCTCATCCGCAGCATCACTCCATTGATGTCATATTAGAAGGTTTTATTCTATGGACTTGATGCGTGTTTAGATTTTACCTTGCCACTTGAGCACATTGAGACTGTTAAATTATAGAAAGACACTTCAAAGTGTCTTTTATCCAACTTGATTTCTGACGAATTTGATTAATCTTTTTTTTAAAGTAGGTATCACTTTCCCTTTCAGGCGTTTATTTCGACAACAGGGTGGAACACATCAAATTCGTCGATTTTTGTGGAAAGTACCGTATTCCACTCTTACAGTACCTATGCTCATCAAAATGTGCCAATACAAGGGATGTAAAAGAAGATTGTTTCGACCGTCCTTCTCGATCAGACATGATGAAGAAAGTATTGTTAGGATGATACTGTATATAATGGAAAGTCGGATAGTATCTGTGATAAATCTATTATTTTCGACACTGTTAAACCGACTAATTGATGAAATTAAAGTGTCCGGTGCTTTATGAAAACGGAAATTTTAAATGTATTAGTGCAAAAATGCAAATGAAATTTGCAGTTTGAAAAATAAATTGATTTGTGAAATAATAAAATACACCTATTGGTTGAAGCTGGTAGGTAATGCAACGGTGCGTGGGATTTCCACTTCTTGTAGAATTTGCGCTTCACCGAATTTTGATTGATATTGAAGCGGTGAAATACAAATTCTTCAGATATAATGTAAGTGCAAATTAACAATTATGAAGTGTGACAAGGTAAAGATAAACCTTATTTGATAAACAATAAAAGTGGGATTCTCTGAAAAAACATAAGAAGCTGTTGCTTTGTCTTAGTGCTTCCAGGAAAAAAGAATGAAATCGCTTATCATTATTATTGCAATAAAAAATTGGTTCTATCCGACTAGTCTGCGTACTTGTTTGGCAATTGAAAACAAAACAATTTATGATAAAGAGTCTGATAAATAAGAATAGGTCATAAGATACCTACTTTGGGAAGATTATTTTATGGATAATTCTAGAACTATACGAGTTTATTCTCGAAAAAATCGCGTAATTTCATGCTTTGTGGCCCTTTTAAAGATATAGCAAGGTCATTTCATCCAGAGGCGGATTCAGATTTTACGTCTCAGCTCCAATAATATCTTATATGCTTCCCATAAACCTACGATTCAAATACAGGTTGCACCAAATTTCGACAAGACGCTTACTATGGTTTTTGTCGACAATCTGCCACAAATACATTTACGTCCTTGTAAGGCACTACCTCCAGAACGCTTGACGCTAAAGATCTCTCCATAGCAACGTGAAAAACTCAATGTCTCATTTTCAGGAGCTAGTTTCAGGTTGAGATTTAGGTTAACATGCCAAAAACATCAATGTATGGATTATAACTTAAACGTATTTGGGTTTTTCTTATTTTCAGTGACAACAAAATAATGTGGAATTTTAGTATGATCTCGGTTTCATGGCTATCCTTTGAAAAATACGATATATTAAACACTTTATTTATTATCTTCTCGAGCCCAAAATATGAAATGAAATTCCAATCTAGCTGGTCTGTTATATAATATATAAATAATAGCCAGACAACGGCGGATCCAGGATTTGTGTTGGTCAACCCTACCCTTGTATTGAATTTATTGAAGACTATTTCCTTTAAAAAAAATTATCCTTTTATTTCTAAAGGAGTGGAGGGGTTATTTTTTCATTTTGTGCTTACAGTGATATATTATTACCTGGCATAAAATGTTCAGAAAATAAATATCTTCGTGGTATGAATCAGTCTCTTGCAGTCTAATCAAGACTCTAATGCGTGTATTACAGCCTTTTCACGTCTTCAATGCTTATAACCATAAACTTTCACAATACTGTGCAGTTTTTTATTTGATGACATCTATTTTTTTGATGATAATATCATGGAAGACATTTTTTTAATGTATTATCAATTGCATATAAGATGGAGAGTGGGAGCTTCTGGTGAAGATATAATGAATGCAAGATCTCTCCTTTCCTCCGTGAACTGGACCTTTTTCCTCAATTTGTTATGGTAGCATTCAGTATTGAGCGTACTGAATACTGTCCAAGTTCAAATGCAAAAGAATGAAATAGACTTGATGATGGCTCAAAGGTGCATTTCAGCAGCATTAAAAAATTAAAAGATTTATTTGAGGAGCGAAAGCACACACGATAATTTTGTTCTGAAGGCTAAGAATAAATGGGAAGAGATGGAATGGGAAAATTCTGGTTTTCCCATAGTCAGAAAGAGGAAAATAAAAAAAAAATCGACAAAAAAGCTGCTGACTCGCCAGTGGAAATAAACGAAAAACATCGAATATATTACTACGAAGTTTTGGATTCAATGAGTAACGAATTCCAGGAACGGGCTGAAGGATTTCGTGAAGTGAATGATCTGTTTGTTTTTTGGTGCCAGAGAAATTAGTCAATCTAAAAGAAAACGAATTTGAAACCAGCGTCACATTTGATGGAAAAATATTCAGAATTTTTCACTACAGATCTAAAATATGATTTATCTAGTTTTACGAGCATGTATTTTTCAGAAAATCGTAATTTTACTAATGACAGCCCGCTAGATTATTTGAAGTTCATGATTGCAAACAATTTTATAGACATTTCTCCAGAGAGCTGCAGTTTATTCAGATTGTTTTTGACTTTGCCTATCGGTTCAGCTAGTGCTGAACGTTTCATGAGCTCTTTGAAAATTATTAAGGAATACCGTCTAGCTTCTTTGGCTGAAGACAACACTCAACAACTTCTCTATCCTCTATATCGAAAGATCAGTAGCTAATACACTCAATTTGGATTCTGCGATGGAAGTTTTTGCTGAACGAAAAGCAAGACGCGGATTCAAATTAGAATAATTCTGTTATTTTGTATTGAATAAAAATTTTTTGATCTCACAGTCTCTACTTGATTCAGGTTATATAGACATATAGTCAAAAAGCAGAGATAACAGTGCGCAGCAGCTACCATTGTGCATATACTTGTAAGCCCCTGTTAATATGTGACATCCTTATTGCCAGCAAAATCTGTAGTTCGAACTTTATCTGAACAATTTAGATGGATTTTACGTTATCTAAAATTTTTAGATCCGCGTGAATATTGAAACAGTTGGACTAGCTGTTTTATTGGCACGTTGATTAACTTTTTGCATCAAATTACTATTAAAAAACCTTTTGCACTATCCATGAGCTTGATTCGGTTACTTGTGCAGGTCTTTCTAATTTTTTTATTCTCAGTTGCCGTCATTAATTTGCAAATAGCGATAAGTGCGGAGATTATCACTTTCGCAAATAGTGCCCAGTATATATCCTATAGTAATGCACATTATTTAACGTATTTTAGTGTTGTTCACCAAGTTTGTATTCAATGAAATATTAATCACGTCAAATATGACAACAACTCTCGATCATATCCGTTTTTTTTCTCTCTTATAATTTTATGCAAATCCTGTAAATAGCGTGCATTCCAAATTTGACTCGACGCCTTTTACTTATCGGTAGCATCCGTGATAACTTTTAAACTCTATTATGCACAATAAGTTTGCTGTTGAATCATCAAGTTTAATTTAGTTGAAAAAATTACGATGCGCATTACAACCTGTTCCGTGCCCGTGCGCACTATTAAATGCAAAAAAGGCTGATGTACGATTTCACTAACATCACATTACGCATTAATTTTTGAGTTATAATGCAACTTTCAAAGTTCCCATTGCCGTATTTTATTTGTCAATAATTGCAGTATTCTTATCTTATTCGCAAAACAGTTATAGTGCGCACTATTTGCCGTCTGTCCCCGATCATACCCCCCCTGTATCCGCGCCTAGAGTCAAATGACTAAACTTCGCATTTTTGTTTTGATTCTTAAACCCGTTTTATTATTACTAATTATAACTTTAGTATAAAAATAAACTATAATTCCTAGTTGTAGTATGATAGAAAAACATGCTAAATTGCAGCGCCATCCCTTAATTGAAATTGTTGTTTTTCAAGATTGCGCTGTAATTTGGTATGTCATACTATAACTGTAGAAATCAGTTTCTGTCTTATAGCAAAGTTTTAATGAACTATTAGCTATTTGTATCATCAGATAATACTATAATTATTATTAACATCATCTCTTTCATTGATTGTATTTCGTTATAAAAAATATTTTAAAAATAGTATAACAGTAAATTTCTGTCCAAATGAAAATGTATTTCAAATCTTTATTAGAGATGTTTCCAACTTCCAAGATGTACAAATAGGCCAAATGAACCAATTTTAAAATCTCATTTTTCGTTGTGCCCTTCAACGTGAAATGCCCCCAAAAAGAAATAAAACCTAAAGAATAAAAGCCATGTGAGCGTGATAGAAAAAACGGTCGCAACTTTAATAGCATATATTAATGATATACTATATGGCATTTTAAAAATAACTTGAGTCTTGTAGCACAGAAAATAATTTACTACACAATGACACAAATCTCATGAGCCGTGAGTTTTCTTTTTATTCGATTCAATTTATATTTCAACAAAGTTATATGGTCAGATTATGTGTATGCGTTTTTTAAAGAATATAGTGATTTTTTCATATTGTATAACTAGTTTTAGAAGTAAATTTCAAATTAGGATTTTATCTATCTACAAACTATTTTATCGCTGAGACTGGGAATGCCCCATTTGCGACAGGATGACGATAGGCAATCATAGTGTATCATCCTGCTCCATTTTCAAACGTTGATATAATCTATTTCAACCATATGGGAGTAGATAAGTATTATGGGACCACGTCTTGATCTGAGGAGAGATTTTTGGGATATGTACACCGAATTTTTTGTCACCAACATGTTGGGCGATCTCCTGTAGCGCCCTCCTCCCCTATACTTTCCTGTGATTTCTACATATGATGCTTCAACAAAACGCGCTAAAACTTTATTTTATTTATAAGCTTTATTAAAACATACTGGTGAAACACCAATAATACTAGCTAGCCATATTTTTCTACTTGATGTTCGTTAACCCAGCTGTAAATTGGTAAATATTTATATATTGATTTGTAATTATCTCAAAAGTTTTTTGTTATATTTAGGTCATAGTTCGAACACGAGCTAATAAATGTCCGAACAATTTTTTTTGTATTATTTATTGTTGGATTAATTTTTTTATCAGTGATAAGGAAAATGGAACACTCAATAAAATGATTTTATCTGAAAGAAGTTTTGTATATAATTAGACATGGGCGCACATATTGCAAAATTCAAGGGCGGCACATTGATGTTCTCGCCAAGATTTAATTTAATAACAAAATTAAAATTGAATTCCTATTTCACGGGTTGTAGTCTAATCATATTAGACGAAAATACCCCTGGTTTGCGAAATAATTGTAAAGTCTGGTTTTATTGCTGCAAGTTGTTCAAGGGGGTATTCAAAACATGGACGCATAAAATGGGTACACCAATTTTTGTGGGAAAACTTTTTATTTGACAACAAAGAATGAGAAAACATCTGTTTTGGGATTCAATCGAAAGTGTTGGCAGGAACGAAAAAACTCTTCATATAAGATCTTTAGGTATTTATGAGACCTACAAAATACAATAATAGCAAAAATGTTATGGCCGAAAAACGAGTCAAAATGCAGGTTTTGGCACTTGGTAATGCGACGATGGTTTCTCGCAGGCATTTGAAATTCTTTAAATTCGTAGGATTCGTACTTTGAAATAACCACAACAAAATTGTAGTTGATTGGTCAAGTAGTTTTTGAGAATTTCTAATTGTTTATCCCAAAACACCTGTTTTCCGGCCATCACTACTAGTTTATTGAGCAATATACAGGGTTGGGTCATAGGGCGTTTACTTTGCCGATATGATTCGCAAACCATTCCGGAAGATACATGTTATTTTTATGCAAAAAAGAATGGGTTACGTTTGTTCTTCTAAACAAATTCAAACATTTCGCATTTGCGAGTAACGTTTCTAGCAGAGCTGGTATGACTTGGGTATATCGTGCAAAAACCGTCTGGCTGGACATAGTAGAAGACCTAGACATCACCAAATGTTCAAATTTAGGAAGAAGTGAACAAACTCATGTTTTTGAATCGAACCGCGACTACTTCGAACTTGGAGCACTATTTAGAAACAAAACTTGTCAAGGCAGTACTTGAAATTCTTTACCACATGAATAGTGAGAATTTTTCTTTTTACGTTTTCCGTGCTCTTTTACCACAAATTAGTTTTGTTATTCCGAACGTAGTCGTTTCGGAGAAGGAAAGTCCCAACTTTCAGGACACCCTGTATAGTTACCCTGTATATAGGGTATTACTCAATGATAGGACCAGTTCGACTGGGTTGGAGGACCGTACGGATGGGGGTCAGTTGTTCCAGCATACGGGCGTGGAAATTCTAACCAGGTGCGCCAAGGGACCTACCTGCTAATTTTACCCTGATCCAGGGAACCCGTTTCGGGTCGAAACGGTCTTGAGGAGGGGATAGCGTAATGCTCTCGTAGCTGGAACTTTAAGTACTAGTCAGACACCCTCGTTTATCAACCAGAAGATTCGTGACGCTTAGGGACATATCGAGCGCCATTTGGTAAGCTTCGATTGAAGTATCGCGTTCTGACTGGAAGGCTTCTAGATATCGACGCTAGCCAACCAGAGTTACACCACCATGTATCGCAGCTTGCGATGCTTTGAGCGCGATTGCGTTTACGTGCATGAGCATGTGCGACGCTATCTAGAAGGAATTCAGTTTTTGTAGAAAATGCTGGAGAGCATCTGGAACCGTCAACTCGCCACTTAAATGCCCGACCAGATGTCAGAAGCAGTTAGTCACAGAGTCGACTTAGTCAAACAACACGGAGTGTCAACATGGTTATAAATTGTCATAAATTAATACAATTGTTCTAACTTGGACATTAAAAACGACGATTTCGTTACAATACATTTCGTGCATATATAATTATGTATTATGGGGGAGAGTATAGTTTCACATTATAAGATATTTGTTGATTGTGTTGCTGTATGTCTACGGGATAGAAAGAAATTGCTATGCGAGCCGTCAATCACGAATTCAACGGCAGAAGGGGCCCGCAATGTCTCCGTCATGAACGCTTACGCTTGGCAGCGATAGTAATATCTGATACTGGAAGGGAGCGTTGGATGTCCAGAGTTCAAATAGCAATGTTTACGCGATAATATTGAAACATTATAAATGCAAACTCATGCAACATGAAATCGATTACAAATATGTATTTTTTATTATAACAGCGATTTAAATTTTAATAGAAAACTAGAACTTTTGTAAAGTATTATCCCCGTAACAATGTCTTTATGAGTTTTGAGTATGAGCTTTTTGCCGTTTTTCAGATTCTCAACATCAATATCTAATAAAACGTTTCCCTTTTTTAGAGATTAAAGGCAAACTATTCATAGGTAGCAATGCCACCTTTATTTTCCAACGTCACAATACTGAGTTTTTCAGTGAACCTGGTTTGCTTTCAGTTATCTTTCTCCAAATGACTAGACCTATACCGTACTGATGATTGTTAAAAAGCATGAAACAACATTGAACACGGTAGAACAGATCCTAATCAGCCTTCAATATCTATCTTGTGCTTAGAAATGTTTCTTTATACTTTTTATTCAAATAATCTCCAGACATACAGATTTTTCAGTTCCCAAAAAGCGATTGCCGGAAGCCTCAAAAATAAGTTCAACGTTCAAACAGGGAATCACTTATCTAAAAAATACTTCAAATGCACTATCTATGAGTAAGTATATTAACTACTTTCTGAGATGTCCAGAGAGATGACATTTAGAGAGGAATGAGGATCAACCATCACCTGCCACGTGACTGTGTGACCACTCTATCACTTTGGTAACATATTCACTCCTGCCGTTACAAGGGCACAGTATTTATATTTCAACATGAAGAGGAATAGTTGCGATTAAACATCAAATAGGACATCCGGTAAATGGCAACCAGGAAACCTCTGGCACAGGGTCGGTCTTTTCTTAAAATTCTGGACAACGTTTTCGCACAACTGTGGCTATATTTCGTCGATAACGCGCCGTATCTCTTCTTTCAGGCGTTCAACTGTTTGTAGCTTGTTTGCATACATCTTTTCCTTCACATAGCCCCAGAGGACGAAGTCCATTGGCGTTAGATCGCACGATCTTGGTGGCCAATTTTGATCGCTAAACCAACAGACGACACGATCTGGAAACTTATTGTAACACCATTGTTTCGCGTGCTGTGTGGCAGGTCGCACCATTTCGTTGGAAAAACAACAGTTACCGCAGTTCCAGCTGCATTTTCAAGAAATACGGTCCCGGTTGTTCGATTATTATTATACGAGGGTTTTCAGAACCCCAAATTCGGCAGTTCTGCTTATTGACGTACCCGTTCAGTTGAAAATGTGCCTCATCAGAGAAAATGATTTTCTTCGAGAAATCCGTATCAATTTGGTGGTGCTCCAACGAATTCACGGCGCTGCGCATGGTCCGTTGGCTTGAGTTCTTGCGGCAATTGAACCTTGTACGCTTGCAAGCACAGATCTTTTGTCAAAATTCGTTGTAGAATGGGTCCACGATGCCGAATGGAAGAGCCTGGACTCTCGGCCACACTTTCCCGCACTGCGACTATTTTTTCGAGGGATCGACCAGGGCGGCGACGAACAGTGGTCTTTACATTTACCAACATGGATTTTGTCTCAAATTTTATTAAACGGCGAGCTGTCGATTCATTTGGCGTATTATTGCGACCGAAAATTGTACGTAATTTTCGAACTATTTCCGCGTAATTTTCTCCATTTTTGTAGCGAGTTTTCACAATAATTAAACGTTGCTCGTTTGAATACTGCTTCATGACGTCTAATCATGATACTATGCACATACTATGACTATGACAGCTATCATCGAATAAACACCATACCATTTGTACAAAAAAATGACGGCAAATTTAAATCCGGCGCCCTTGTTGAGACGCCCTTTATAAACGTGTCCTGAAGTCTGGTTTTCAGGGTGTCAAAGTTTTGTGACAACTTTGGTTTTTTATCAAGATCTCCAAAATCCTTGTGCCCATTTTGTTGAATTTTGGGAGTGTTGTTCATTGCAATAAAACGCTAAGTTAGCCCTAACCAGAAGATAATTATGGATGCCAGTGGCGGCTCGGAGGACAGTCTCAAGAATAATATTGACAAAAAAATGTACAAGAAAATTTTATTTTTCGGATTAAGTAGCTTTTTTCTTTTTTTTATACCGGAGCAGCCGCGCAGGTAGAAACCTAAATGTCGGGACACCGCAGCTGCTATGATGGTCCCAAAGAAATTTTGTTAATACGATATCTGAACCGCCTAAGGTTAGTAGAACCGGGAAAAGCTTCCTCTTGTAGATTGTTCCACAATCTCGACACACTAGGGACAAAGGAGCGGTCGTATCGGCAAGTTCTGGATGTACGAAGTTCGACACGGTTGGGATGGGACTCCAAAGGGAGGCGAGTCTGTCTGGCAGGCACAGCGCGCGGCGGCATCATGGGAGAGAGCTCTTAGGTTGGTGTAGCGGTAGAAAAGAGCTAGATCGCCGACGGCCCTATCAGTAGGACCGCCCTCCTCTGGACAGCATCGAGCATAAACAATGTAGTCGGAATGGAGGGATACATCCCTTGAGATGTCTTTTATCTAGGTTAGAAATATACTTCATGCAAGTAGCACCCCAGCTGTCACCCCATATATTATGAGATTTAATTGACACATGGTACGATCGAAGGTCTCACGGATATAAATGATACATTTAGTTTTTTTTGTATACTTATGTATATTTGATTATTAGACCTAGTTTTGTATGCATTGATTGTTATATTTATTATTTTTGTATAATATATAACATATATATTTGTAATTTTTTTGCACACATATTTTCAAATTTAAAAGATAAAGGTCTTATCAGTACACATAACTGTATGGGTAACAAATGGTCAATAAATGTTGATAGGTCTGCCGGATTTTGAAAAACAGTCCTGGAGAAAATACTTATTGATTAAAGGAATAATAAGTGTTTCGAAAATTACAAACACACCTCTATTTGACCACACCTAATCTATTATTTTTGAGAATCATACATGAAGGAAAAAATTAAATTAAAATTTAATTTTAAGGTTTATTACATTATGCATATAATATATGTACAATTTTCAAAAATCAGATAAAAGTAAAAGTGTT